TACGTGGCACTGGTTTCAAAAAAAAAGTCAACCATCGTTGGACCCACAAGATAGTGCCACGTAGGCCGAAAAGGGGTAAAAAATTATTGATAAAATAAGTTCAGGGGGGTAATAGGACCTTAGTATAGTATAAGTGTGTCTCTGGGATTTCGGGCATAGGTTGAGGGGGTACTTGGACATTATCCCTATTATTTAACTTCATATATCCCTCTATTTCATATCTTTCGTTATTATGTTGGCTTGCATATTTTAATCTCAGTTACCATCCATGACAGAAATATAGAATATCAACAAAATCGACGAGAACACGGAAGAATGGACTTGTAAAGTTCAAGTGGTAGATAAAGGCCATCCTCGAACCAACAGGGAGAGAAACAAGAAATATCAATTGATGATATTACAAGACGAAGAGGTGTTTATCACATAAACAAAAGATATTCATCTACTTTCACAAATCAGTTTGTAGCAAAATATACAAGTTGCATATCATTTTTACTTTGCTTTTTAATGGTTGTAATCTGCCTTCATTTATTTATCTTCAATTCAATGCTCTTCTACTTAGTTGAAATATTGTTGCTTGTGAGTTTTGATGTGAAACACTTGTTGTCACTCTAAATTTACATTTTAATCTTCTTTATTTTATAGACATATTTTCTATTACAAAAGAATTACAGATTGGGATAAATGTTGTTGGTTCTCTTTGTAGAATATGGAGAAAGTTGAATTCTGAAGCACGTTTTATCCTTTTAAATCTATGTTTTACTCCTCTTTATTTTGTAGATATAATTTGTGTTATAGGAAAGTTAGTTACTGCTTGGGTTCGATGCTGTTGATTTTCTTTGCTAAATATAAAAAAGATTAATTGAAATCTGTGTGGATACCAATCCATTTAAGAAACTGAATTGCTTCTTAAGCGAACTCTCATGTAAATATTTAGAAATGATCAGTGCTGAGTGATCATAGAATAAATGAAATTTTATCATACAAATAGTGAGGGAGGATAGATGCTTAATAATATCATCTGTCAACTGATTTTATAAACGCACAGGAAAACATCTGTGAACTGATATTGAGAATTAATTTTTGTGCTAAAAGTGTTGCTTAATGTTGTTGATGTGTTCCTTAAATAATTATTTGCAAAATCAGTACTTACATTTTTTATTGTAATCTTCATTTTATTGATTAAGCCATCACATCCATGGGTAAACCTCCACCCATATTTCATATGCTTTAAATTTTATATACCCCATAAAAAATAACTATTCCCAACAATTCAAACCACTTTTGAATTTCTATATTAACTATATGTTATTTCACTTACCTTATATTTTTCTAACTTCATTAAATTTCTCATAGAAAACTCAAATACAAGTTATCATGTACGATACAGATATCACATATTATGTAAATGAGTTTGTTTCTTTCCAAACATATTTGCTATCGGGGGCATTTTTCTCTGTCAACCAACGCGTATGGAAATCATATTCATCAATTTAGCTGAACAATTGATAAAGGCACAAATTTTGAACCAATAGATCAAGTTATACCCCCTGAACCACCGTTGCTGCCACCGACGCTGCTAAAAACTACATCGTTTGACAGTTTCGACTATCAAGCTATAGGCTTTGAATTATGTACTTCTCAAATATCTTAACACTATACTTACCACACATATAATTCATTTTTCATGACTATTACAACTTACTAATAACTCTTTAATTTCTGCAAGATATTCTTGCCCTCGTCATAAATGGTAGCCCTCCATCATATGCATCAAATGGGAACAAAATTGAATAATTCATTGTTATCGACTATGAGTAAGTAAAATTTTACTTTCCAACTTTTCAAAACTGAAAATTGTTATCTAAAACTCGAGATGCTAAGACATGTACGAAGCAATCATCTTTTCCTTTATAGCTATATACCAACTGTCACTCCACTATTTTTATCTTTTACTTTGCCTCTTCTTCTGTTTTTTTTTGGCTGGCTGGTTTGAGTCCAAATCACAGTCAAAACATCTTTTTGAAAGTTAAGTCTCGGATGATTCTTGATTTATTGCACTATTAAAAATGAAAAAAGCAGAGTTTTTATGTTGCTTGCAGAATATATCAATCAAATGAACTGACAAACAATCAATAATTAGTACAATTTGATCTGATTTAAAGTTAATAAATCAGAAATTCTGGTAGATTAGTTACAAAAATATTTATAGAAAGAACTTCGTTCATCAACTTTGACACAAACATGGTTTTTTGCTTCTGTGTTGACTATATTTACTGTTGTTTCGCTGCTCGTGGAACAATGCATTCACAAGTTATCTAATGTAAGTAAAGTTCTGTTTTGCATGTCTGCATTGTGTACTATTATTGGTTTTGTTAACTTATATAGGAAATAGCCTCTCTGCCTTTGAAATAGGAGTAAATTAGTACCAAAGAATTCATAGTCTACTATATATACAAAAGAATAATGCAATTTTCAAGCTAAATAAATTTTTACTGACTTAATATACCTGCTAAACTTGTCCTAGATTTAGGATCTTCGACAACTTCTTATATATAACAAGTTTCCTTGAATAGGGAGTGAAAATACAACCTTTTCAAGTCATTCCAAACTTTTTCTTTGAAAATCACCCCAACGCATCTTTTTATTTTATAACAGTTTCTGTTTTGGATCATCAGGAAACTATGTTCTTGCAGATTCTGACATAAGCCAATTGTGTCTAACACAAGCATACAATTTACTTTAGTTCCTGCACAAATAGTTTTTATTTCTTATCTTGGTGCTAAATAAGTTTAATTTTTTATTTATGATAAATAAGAAAAAATGTTATCGCAACAATCAAATATGTGCACCACATATAAAAAATTGTTTTTCCATTCCATTAACGAAAAAGACGCATGAAACATTGAGATGCCTCTCTGTAAATGTTTGTAGAGTCGAAAAATTCATCAAATATTTGAAGAAAATCTGGCATACCATCCCCTTTTTGTACCTTCTGGACTGTCTAATAAGGAAGAGATGACATATATTTTTGAAACTCAGAAAATTCATGTCTTTATTATTGTCTTTGAAATTAATGATTTGGTGAAGCAGACGTGATAGATGTTAATGCTTTTCAGTAATATCAACTTGCAGTATTACCCAGCCATAATGACCATATATACTAATGCACTTTTATCTTACCGTGAATGTAAATGTACGTTTGTTGAACTATCTTATATCCTTCTATTTTTTTTGAGCTTGTGTCAAATAACTGGATTTATTAGTGACTTGTCATGTCATCTTCCTTTTCGTCAAAGTTGAAATTTTCAAATGTGATGTAGGTGTCTGATTGATCCTCTTTCTTGGAAAGTAAATATTTTTTAAAAAATTTCCCTTCTCTGTGATTTCAAACATCTTGTATTTGAATGTTACCTTTCTATAGTATCTGGCTTGATCTAAGGATCTAAAATTTCACTCAATTTGGCAAAGTTTTTTGGTGCATCTAATTCTTGATTGATAATGTTGCCCAAAAGTGAAAAAAAAATAATAAATAAGGAGAAAAGGATAAGTTGGATACTACATTTTGATAAAAAGTTTCCAACTATGGTATGGATTATTCTAATTTTCGGATGCTTCACCATAGAATAGTTCGATTCAGTTCGCGTTCTTTTTCTGTGCGCTCTCTTTATATATCTGACACACAAGGAAGGACACGATGGGAAGGAAGCAGCCCTAGCCTGTTAGAGTATCGGGTTTATCTAATAGATCAGTTGTTATTGATGTTTGATTAGCCTTTTGATTGACTGATTAAATTTGATCTATGTGTGTGAATATACCAAATCTGATTATAGGGACATAGTAATGGTTAACTTGTAATCTCATTCTTATGAGGAATGTCATGCACATTGTTGGTATTCAAGAGTGGAAAATATCATATGTCAAGACTCATTGACAACACTTACCAGCCACTTTCATGGAAGAATTAGCTAATTCTACAAGTTGCTTATAGTAATAACTTCTCTAAAAATATTGCAACACCTAACTATTTGAACAATCTAAGTATGCTTATTATGTCTTTGTTTAGTCAGAATTCTTCTTCTTTGATTCTCCTACTTTCAATAGCCAAAAGGAATACCCTTCAATAAGAGAAGGGATTGTCAACTTCAGGTCAAAAGTCAGCCGTTGAAAACCTACTGCTGACATGTGCACATCTGTCATGTCTGTATGAGCAGAACCAACTAAAGGGATATCATAGTGTTCACCAAGGTCTTGCAATTTCAATTTTGTCTTTAATTTGACCCTAATTTGAAAATAACAGTAAAAATGTTGCATCCTACTTTGATGATGTTCATTTTATTTGTGTATATACAACAATAGTAACACAATTTTCTTTACTTCCTTTCGTGAACATTTTTCCAATTTTGTTTGTGGATATGTAAGTTATGATCTATTATAACACTGTTTATCTTTTTTTTTTAATGAAAACAGAAACAAACCAACACAACTCATTCTCTGGGAAGAATTCATTGACCTATATGGAAATAAATTTCTCACACATCTGAAAGAGCTTCAACAATTCCCAGTAATTATTGCCAGAAAAGTGGCCAAACCAAAATCATCTTCAGGTAAATTAAACATATTAACAATTTCTCGTACAACACATATTGATCGAAATAACACCAACTATTAAATAATATGCAGGCCTTTCAAATAAATTTGGTACAATAATCCAGATTGATCCCCCATACCCACAAGCTATCGCATTAAAGACATCATATTCAAAATACACCTCTCCATAAACAAATAAATGTATTCACATCTTTAACATTTTTTACATACAGGTCCAATGAAATAAAACCTCTTCTCAGCACATACGCAACAAAAAACACCACAACTACATGCTCTCTTTTGTTTGTGCCATTTGAAGAACACATAGTGCCTATTGTCAACATCCAGCAACAACCTTTGATATACGCATCATCTACATCTTAAATTTGTTTATAAATTGAAATATTAATACAATTTACCATTTCATACGTATGCCTAGGGCGAAATATTTCACATGCAAGCTCAATTATCAATATTGAATGAAACTCAAAAATTCTGTGTCTTAGTCTGCTCCGATTGGAAGCAATTTTTTCCAAGAATTTGATCACAGAGAAGATTCTACTGTACAACCTGCCGTCGACCAACACATCTCACACCTAGGTATGAGAATCATATTAGTGAGATCAGTAACTGCATAACCCATAACATTTTCCTTGTTATGAAAATCTCTTATATTTTCCAATGTGTAATAAATATATTTTGGGTTATCAAAAGATGGCTAACTAAATAACAATTTTCTATTATAAAAATTATTTTTGAACATAACCAAAATGAATTTTGCCTAGATGTCAGTTTGAATTAATCATCCAAGATGATATTCATTCAACAACAACTATGATTTTAGATAAAATTGGAGAAGAACTATTGTCTCTTACTGTAGTAGAAATTCCTGACATACGTTGCATCATGGTAAAACACTCTATAATCTCTCGTTTATTTCTTAAAAATCTAATCTTACATGATTTCCTTCTGTATTTCAGAAACAATTGTTGTCATTCATATCAGTGCAACACAAACTGCTAGAGAGGACATTCACCA